AAAATTTCTATGTATGTGGAAAATATAGTTGATTACCAAAGGTTACAATTTTTATTTTGAAGACTGCATGGTCTAGGAAGTGTACATTTTTTTATGGGGCAAGTTTCCAAGGGCGAGTTTTCTAGGGGCGAGTTGACTGCCAAAGTGCGAGCCAGCGTGTTATTTGATATCAAATCATATCATATCATTTATTTCGCCTCAGTTAAAATTACAAAAATTACAAGCAAAGACATTGCACAAACAAAGGTAAATCAATGAGGCAGGATTGCCTAAATGTTATAAATAAAATAACAGTCGAGAGGCTCTCCACAAAGAAATACCATACACAAAGATGTAACATGAAAGTTAAAATTTAAAAATCAGTATAAAAAGTTACATTGCATTATTAAAATTTAAATATATAAAATATTTGATCACAAGTGCGAGACATAATCACAAGTGTGAGCCATCGAGCCATGACGTCACGACAATAGATAGAGACGTTAGCCAGTTGTGCGAGGTATCGGCTGAGATTTGTGGAGTACAATTCAAAAAACAACTATAGGTCTAATAATAATGAATTATTGTGATGTTAAATAGACAATGTTAGCTATCAAAGAGCGACGTTGTTTTTTTTTTATTGGGACCTTCGTCTTCAAGGCTAGGCCTATACCATCCTAGCTAGTCTAGGCCTAGAGTAGGATAAGGCTAGCGCGACATGCGGACGTTGGTACGAGTTGGTTAGTCTACGAACGTCGCCTAAAGTATTGATTTTACCCGGCAGAACTACAGAAGGAAACTCCGCTTTCAGTCGTCTTCGGCAGTCGTTTTTTGACAAACAATGACCTTTCAGAAGTCAAATTGCTGTCAAGAATATGAATTGGCTGCTTCGCAGCAATTATTTACGAGCCCATGCTCCAGCTGACGAAGAACAAATTAATGCTGTCATAAATTTATTTAAGCGAACTCTTATCGGATCAGCCCGCTTATGGGTGGAAGGTAAAACAGAATTTAACCAAGACTCCCTGGTACAACGAAAATCAACTAGTTTATCTTCATAAACCTGACTCTAGTAGTATAACTGTACCATCAAGAACATTTTCTACTAAATGGGTAGGTCCATTTGCAATTTACAAGGTTCTTGATCGTTCACATTACATGCTATGTACTTTAGATGGGAAAATTCTACAAGATGTGTTTAATTTTAATCGACTTAAACCTGCATTTATTAAAACATCCTCAGCTAATGTTTCTAACTTACAAAAGTTGAAAGCTAAGAAGTTATGTCAAAAGATGACAAAAATGATAAACCTAAAGAAAACATTGTATGTTGTTTTATGGATGAAAAGGCAAACGAAATTAATGAAACTAGCTTTGTTAATGAGTACATGTACACTTATGTTACGACAGATAAAATCGAATTAGATAATCACATACGTTTGTGTGTAGTTAATGATGGTATAGTATCACCCTCTGAGTTAACAAAAGACCAGAAAAATGATGTAATTAAATTGTTGGAAAATGTACCATGTAACACCATTGAATTAATTCGAGCACGATTTCATGTTGGTAGGTTACAAATTTTAATCAGACTATCATTTTGTAATGGAGTACTGTATATGTAGACCTATTATGTGTATTTAATTGTTAATACTTGGTGATTGTAGAATTTATCCTACATTGTTTGTTACATTTGATTATATCGGGTGGAGCAACATTAAGGAAGTGAAATGTTTATTTTATATATACACATGGTTATTTAGGAGACAATGCAGGCTGGCAGATGCTGGGCATTGTATATGTCACTGTATAGAGATCATTGATATTTTATGATGTGATTATAGGCTTGTATGTGATTGGTTTACATACCAATGATGGCTTGGTATAATTATAGTGGGAAACTTGAATTTAGTTAAGTTTGGTACAACACTTCAAGACTGAAGTTCTCTCTTCCGGCAAGGGCGCCGTGATTGCCTCTGTTAAGTTAATTGCTGAGTCGACATTAAAGTTAAGATTTGAAATTACAGTATATCTGTGTTGGCTGAATTGTTTGAAGTACATTGGTTTGCTGGAGTTGATGATCAAGAAGTGTGCTAATTGTGTTTAAATCAAGTACAGTACAACCAGAAGACGTGAAGTACAGAAGTCAGCTACAGTATAGTAAAACAAATACTATACATCGTCACAACTAATATACAACGTTACATGGTGGCAGCGGTTAAAGAAATTTATTTCATTGGTACGTCATCGGATGCCGAAGTGATCGGATAACGACTACAGTAAATTGGTGGGGCTGTGAAATGACGAATTGGTCTGGTCTGGTAATGCAGTTGATATGGTGAAGCAAAATTGATCTGGTAGAGCAGAGTTGGCCTAGGTGACACAGAGAAGAGTTCAACTGAAGTGACATGAATATTTGAGAAGTTGGTGGGCAACGCTAAACTGGTGTATGGTTAAAGAGACGAACATTTTGGTGCAGTGCAGCTGTTAAGAACTGAAGTCAAGACGCAAATTGCAGTGGTGAAGACAGCGCTGTTATGGTGTGGCAAGGTCAAGACAAGATAACTGAAGAAGAGTAAATTGTGTATACAAATTTGAGGTAGGTTCTATGATTTGTTCCTTTAAAAATTTGATTACAAAAAGATGCATATTAGGCCTATGTTATATTGTATATTGTTGTATTTGTTAAGTTAATGGAAGCTTATGATATAGTATTACGATCTGGTACACGGATTAAGTCTGTAAATTGTGAAGTAAATATTACAGAAAACATGGCAGAAAATAATGAGATACATATTAAAATCAAAATTGTGTAACAATTTTGACTTTGGTCTATTTTGGTGATTATCTCAAAATGATTTCACCAACGATGCGTCTCATTTCGTGGTGAGACCTCCCATTTAGCCAGGTCTCAGATAACCCGATTACTGAGAACTTAGTATGAATTGAATATAGGAGCCTTTCAAAAGCATTGCCTTAGTTTCCATGAGCTTGCCAACTGCTTGTTTTCCTTTGAATAATTCAAGAAATTCAGTCCAGAAACTTCTATTTCAGCCACGGATGTAAATAGGCCTATACCGTCCTGCTAATAAGTATTACAATATTATTATGAAATAGCCTATTTTCTTACTAAATATTTTCCAAATAAAAGACTTCAAGGTATAAAGGCTGTCTCTTATACACATCTAGATGTGTATAAGAGACAGGGATAATTCCTATTCTTCCAATTTGATCATAAATTAACATAATTACACACTTCACTTATGAACACGTATCACCAGTTCACACTTGCTTTTAGCTCATCATTATTCATACAACTTTTCTGCTGACTCATATGCCAGCTACTCCATGCATAATTATTAGTTCTTTTGTAATTGTAATTAATAGTACTGTATTTTACCTTACTCTTTCACAAACAATATCCATTTAACTTTTCACTGTGACATAAATGAGTAAATACATACATTGTGTAATAAAATGCCTCTGACGGGATTCAAACATGCGATCTCTCGCTGTCAATGTGAGCGTCATAACTATTAAACCACAGAGGCTGCATAGTTGAACAGATTCAAATAACTGTCAGGTACAACTTATTACACTTTATCGTTTTTCAGTACAGTTTAGTGTAAAGATTTTTGGTTGTATTTTATGAATATGAATATTCCTTTGTACATATATAATTATAACACCTTATGTTCTTTTCGAATGTTATTGTTATGTATTTATTTGTATATATATTATTATACATATGTGTATAATCGATTCTAAAAAAACAATGTTTATCGGCGATTCTGGTAATTTTCTCTCTGTTCTGTTATACTCTATGATTTTTAAGTTCACGATTCTTTTTTATTTCGATTTCTTTTAACACTATCATAGCACTTATAATTTACAAATGTATATTTAATTAAATACAAACAAGCACTTAATTATTTTTTTTAATTGAATTTCTCAATTCATTCTTCTTCAGGCTTTCCTAGCTTTCAATATAAGTGTTCGGTGTATACAGTTGGACTAATTAAGCAAAGAGAAATCTGGTTAGATTAAGCAAATCTGTGAATCATCACGTGGATATATTGCAAGCTTCACAACCGTTGATGTATTGGACGCCGTACTCGAATACGTAGGAATGAAATACCCAGACGGTTTACACGAGATTGGATTATCATGCCAGGTGGGTTTGGATCAGCATTTTGGTAAAAATTGGAAGGGAAATTCAGGAGCGGAGATTCTTTCATCTATTCCATGGGCAAATGAACAGCCTGATTTAGGAAATTCTGTACATTGTGGGACTAGGATCGAAGCAAGCACTGGTAAAATGTATGATATTCCTGCTAATACTATAACCCCAGCGTAAAATCGAGAACATTCATTTGTAAATATGGTAAGTGTTATGAGTTTACAATATACATATATTAATATAATATAACATAATATTAAATTGCTTTTCTACAAATTATTTAAATGGTCGTTATAAGAAATCATGTTTGAAATAATTACAAACTGCAACATTTATAAAATAGGCCTATTATTGAGACAATTTTTCCTAAAAATGACATTATGTGACTTAGTATATTTTTACGTCTTTAGTCTTCAGTACATTATTAATTTCATTGCTTACCATGAGCTCCCACAATATTACTGATGTTTTATTTATTTTATTTTTGCAAATAATATTCAATATATAAATATAAAAACACAGATACTTAAATAAAGTAATAGAACTTTAAGTGATCAACTTCTTTTTGTTACTTCTTAATAATATATATTTTTTTGCAATTTTATTAAATGTATTATAACTGCGTACAGTAAGTTTATGTTCGTTTATAAGGAAAAAACATAAACTAGAAGTGAAAATGTGCCTGATTCATTCCTAGAATTTCTGTATTTCCAATCTGAAGAATTGTGAAGTCACTTTGGATGCTTCGTACATGAGATGTGCGTTGCGATGTCAGCAACAGACCGAGTGCCAGGGAGTTCATCTCAATGATGCTGGATGTCAGATTGAAAAGCAGATAAATGATGAATCTAAAGCACATTATGCGAAACTAATTTACTCAAAATAGTACTAAATAGGAAAAGAAAAAGCTTGTGTATAACATAGAATTCATATTTCTACCTTATTTGATGTTCAGACCTTTTGTCTGTTTAAAGCTTGTCTTAGACGATTGATTCACAGTGTATTTGTAGTAAATCAAAATGTTAGTCTTGGTTAAACAGTATGTTAGTGTCATAAATATACGAGTCTCTGTTAAGTTTTGAGATGGTATTAGTAAACTATTTTTTAAAGTTATACAATAGAAGTAAGGATATGCATCATCGGCTTGCCTGTAAATTGAATAAAATAATAAATAAATTTATAAATAACATAATTTTAGCATCGATAAACAATGCAAATATAAAATTCAAGTTAATGCATAAAAAATGAATATAAATGATACAAAAATATGTTGTAAGAATATACATATTAACAGTCTAGTTAAAAAAATATCTGTTTTTGCCTCTAATATTCAAATTAACTACAATGATACTATTCTAAGCGTCTCTGATGTTGTTCGAAATCTTGGAGTCATTTATGACAAGCATTTGGATTTCTCTCATTACATATCGTTTATCTGTCAATACAGATGACGTCACTATCCTAAAATAACCAAGTTAAAAAGGTGGATTATATAGAAACCACTAAATTAGTCTATATCAATCAAAACTGCCGATTTTTAAAGGGGATTTTTTTTCTTTCACCCACCGAGGACACTTTCCCCTTCATTCCAGCATCTTGAACTCACTTCACTTTAGTCTGCATTACTCAAACTATTTCACCACCTATATGTCAACGTAGTCATCACCATTACCAGGCATCATCATATTATACGGTATTTATATTGAGGACTACTTAATAATGCATAACATTGCATCCTGTAAGTACATAGCACATGTTTTATTTAATTGCATATTGTTTATTTATTAATTACAATATTGCACGTTATGTAAATAATGTGGGCAGTTCGAACAAAACCACGCACTGTTATTTATTGTATTATAGTGTATTCAAGTTCATTGCACTTTATTTATTCATGAAAGAATAAGCAATTAAATTCATATAGGCCTAGTTCTGATAGAAATTAAATTTTCAGCTTTTATTTCCGGGAATTCAAAGGTTGTTCACTAATCATGGTGGGGGCTGGGGTGGAGACTCAACTAACTTTAAAATCCTGTATCCGTTTGTAGGGGTAGAAGGACAGCTTAAAAACCAAAATTCCGTAAGCGAAAACCACGCACTCTACCAGCACCTCCCCGTTCCCCCGGGCAGCTCTATCTATAACGGCCGGGAAAACTTTCAAAATTGCTTTCGACGGCCTACGTGAACGGTCCGAAATGTCTGAGTAACTGCATTGGCGAATCTGAAGTGTGTGTGTGTGTTTGTGTGTTGGGGGGGGGGGTGATCAGGGGATCCTGATCACCCTCTAAACTCTTGAGCTGTAAATTCTAGACCCGTGAACTGAAGTTTTTGTTGTTACAATGGGAAAATTAGAAGTCGAGATTCATTGAATAGCTTTAAAAAGTGGGAAAAGCTTAATAATTAAATGTCATTAAAAGACACCTCAGAAGTCGGGAAAGCTCATTTTCTGCAAACTAAGGATAAAATTTTCCCTGGGTAAGACCCCGACCCCCCTTTATTTTTTGGGTTCATCGATTCATGGAAAAGGAATACGTATGCAACTACTTATTTGTTTTTTTTCTGTATGTATACTGGTGCACACACTGGCCTACTTACTGAAATACTAATAATAATAATCTTTATTTTAAATTTCACTTTTAAAACAGTGGCACACGATGACGGTGCGGTCACATGAGAATAACATACAACATAAAATTTAAAATAAAATAACAAACGGTAACAAATAAATTCAAATACTCTACTGAATTAAAACACTGCGTAGGAAACGACTGGTAATATGAATGGAAAAGTTTACCTACCGTTTTCAAGAGGGAATAAAACCTTTAATTTTAAAGAACTTAAAAGTCATTAAAAGAAACTTCAAAAGTCGGAAAAGCTCATTTCCCACCATGTAGGAATCAAAATTTTCCCGGGGGAGAAGCCCACGCCCCCTTTTATATTTGGGGTGGGAGGGGGAATTTTGGAAACATTCTGACTCCCTCCTAAATTTGAACCCAGATCCGCCCTGCCTCAGTAGAATAGTAAATGAAACGGTAAAGGATGTCAGGTTCGTGCTAACGTCCAATATTAACCCAGCTAACAATTTAACGTTAAAAAACGTTATACAACGTATGAGTTTGGTTCAAAAAACGTTTTAGTAAAACGTTTCGAAAACGTAATTTTGTGGAGTTTTGATAGCGTTTTAATAACGTTTTAATGTAACGTTTTAAAAACGTTATTATAACGTAAAAATAACCTTGATTACATCGACTTTGGTCTTGTATCACGTTTTAAAAACATTTACAAAGGGTTTTTATTACGTTTGTAAAACGTTATAATATTACGTTTTAAAAACGTATTTATGTTGAGTTTTTAAAGGTAACATTCAGAAACGTCATTATAACGATATTTTAATGTTTTTAAACGTTTTTAAAACATTCTTAAAATGTGTTACAATACGAAAGTCAATGTAACTAAAGAACTCTAGTTACATTGACTTTGGTATTGTAACACATTTTAAGAATGTTTTAAAAACGTTTAAAAACATCAAAATAATGCTAAAACTTTTGAGTTTGATCGGTGTTCCAAGGCGTTTTCAAAACTTGAACAAACGCTGTACACTGAACCGTAGATATCCTTAGGTCGGCCTCTGGTCACATGTATGATTCCAACTACATTGTGTTAGCTTTGATGCTCCGTGACAGAAGAGGACAACAATACAAAATTACTTACACTTATGTAGCGTTATGTGTTTATCCTTTAATGTTTAATTCGTCCTGTACTGTACTTTGCTATACTGTAGTTTAGCAAAAGCTCCATTTCAATATAGGACAAAAGGATTTACAATAATCAATATAAAAAAAATAAATCAAAATCAACTTAGAGTCAAGTGCTGACAATTCTATACTATTTCTGTAGGTACAGTTAATAAAAGATCAAGTTCCATATCATCTATATCATCGACGAGAATATTTTTCGGCTTCATCGATGTTGTTTTCTAAATTCGTAATTCTTTCTTCTAGACTAGTTAGGCCTATCTTATCATTAGTCTTATTAATGTCAAAATGCAATGAGTCTCTAATAAGGTCAGACAGCTTACCGGTCAATTGTTCTTGTACGACACTTGATACAGCTGCGGAGATTTTCTTCATAAATAAGGAGTCCGGTGCTAAGCATTTCCCTAGCTCAAAATCAATAATTTCTTTCACATCTGCAATATCAGTGATATTTTCTACTTTTGAAGGCTGATTGCAAGGTTTACCAGAAGCAGATGCATACTCTTCAGAATCAAGAGCACTTCCAGCTTTGGGAGCCGGCTTCGGTTTTTTGCTACCACCCATCGAATTTGCAAGTATGGTATGCAGTAAAGCTAGCTGAATTAGATTCTG